AAGGAAAAGAAAGGAAAGAAAAAGAAAGAAAAGAAAAGAAAAAGAAGGAAAGAAAAGAAAAAAAAGGAGAGGAAAAGAAAAGAGAAAAATAAATATGGTCCGAAAATAATTATAAAAAATAATTTTTGAATTTCAGGAATTTCCGGAGGCTGACCTGGATTCTGAAGTCTGGAAGAAAACTGACTGTTGGAATGCTAGGATGCTGAAAGAATTAATTTGAAGCCTCTTTAAGCTGAGAGCTTTATTTAAAATTGGAAAATTTCCATAAATTGTGAGATTAACAGAATCCGCAAATATTGCTCCCTGGTATGAGAATATTTTTAAGTTGGCAGCTAACTTGGACTACTCCCTCTTAGCCGAGTCTACTACTCGACTAAGGGAGTGGGGGACTCGTGATGGGATTATGGGACCAGGCCCAACGCCTAATCAGACTTGGCCCCAAACTTGGATCAGCAAGCCCAAGCCCACGACTGTTGTCTCGCCAGGCAAGCCCAGATAGTGAACCCAGCGATCAGATATCAGGTCGACCCAACCGACCGGGCCCATCAGGGAGTGGAAGTCCAGCGGAGCAGAAGCCCAAGACGGCCTATCTACCCGCCCAACCGGAAGCCTGTCTTTGGTCTAGCGAGGAGCCTGATTCCGGCCCAACGGAAGCCTGTCACCCGGGAAGCCCGAGCGCCCGGCCTGCCAGCCAGGGAAGAGTAACGGCCTGCCAGCCAGGGAAGAGCAACGGCCAGACATTAATACACTATTTATTTATGTGATTAATTATGTATTAACTTTGTAATTAAATTAGTCATTATAACGTTTGGCAGTTACCATTTGTAATCGCCTATAAAAAGGCAAGTTGGATTCAAATAAGTGGGGAAGTTATTTCTGGCTATCAAACTCTCAAGCTACTTTCCTTATTCGTATTGCTTTCTTGATTTCTGCTTGAGTGTTCTTATGTAACTTTCCTAAAAGCCTACGAGCGTCCTATTTTGGACCAACAGTGAGAAATGAGAAGTTTCACATTTTTACCTCTTTTTGTGCATTTTATCGCTAATCTGCTACATGTTTTGCGGTAACAGAAAAATTTCAATTAATTATAGAAATGCTACCGCATCTTGTATCACTTTTTTTTAGTATTTTGGCATTGTTTCATCCATTAGATCCTAAATTCAATGCACCAGATGTATTCTCACTTTTTAAAATATAAACACTCTTCTCATTTAATCCTTATTCTAATTGGATGTATGTTTTGGATCAAATAAAAATTCTCTTTTTGTGGAAACCGTTAACCGTTCACTTTTTCGTTAAGCTAATGTACTACTACCTCCACCCCGCTAAGATTGATCAAATTTCATAACTTTTTATTAGCTTTCAAATGACACCAATATTCAATATACAAAAATAAAAAAATTAATTTACACCTTTTTTTTAAAGTGATATAATTTTTTTTATTTGTACTCTGATTGTTACAAAAAATACATCAAAAGTCATCACTTTTTAAACGGGCCGGCCAACTTGGAAAAATTATGATTGCGGTTATTTCTTTCTCCAATCCTCTTGACAAATCTCAATTACACGGTTGTTACATGATTATTATCTATGCCAGTTAACTTGGAAAATTTTTAATGGATAGAGGGAGCAATTTTTAAATACTCCGAATCAATTAAAATCATTAGTTTTGGTTGTTATTTTAGCAATTTCCTTTTTTTTTAGATAAGATGGTTGACAAGACGAGGTTCATTTGGAAGCAATCAAGACTTATGGAAAAAAATGGCTCTTCTAATGAAAAAAATAGGCTGAGAACATGTTTAGATGTTTAGTTAAAAAATAAGACATTCTAGATAAATAAGAACATGTAGTATTATCAACCAATGTTATAATCGAGTAAATGAGTGACTTTCCATCCACTTATAATTACTCATACATATGTTAGTGCGCACACTCGCATATATATAGTATAGCATTTACTTTCATAAAAAAGTAATTACATTTACTTTTAATTCTAATTTTCTATTTTAAATTATACAATTCACCCCATAAATTTACATTTTTGAAAGAAATAATACATGACAATGGTGCAAAAATAATTTTTTATATAAAGTTTGGGGTATTTAAATTACATATGCAAGTTTGGAGTGCTTACCTCACACCCCTTCAAAGTTCGGATTGTTTTTACTATTTTTCCCTAAAAAAATAAGACTCAGTGTGTTACATTTTGCAAAATATACATTTGTCTTAGGGCCTGTTTGGTTTAGAGTAATCTCACATGCAGGCCCAAAATGTTATGCATAAGATGTTAGATGTTCATGTTTGGTTCGCGGGGTTTTTAAAAATTCGGGAAAGTTACATTCCTGGGCGTAATATGGAGGGCAATTTTAAACTCATACATGCCTTGAATTATCTGACATTCTCGGGGATGACCTAATTCTTTTCCGAAATTACTCTCAATTAATTACTACCTCCGTCCCAAATTGTTTTGTAAAGTCGTCATTTTTTTGTCAACTAATGTTACGGTTAAATCCTCCCTGTCGGTAATTAATTCAATTTTAAGAATAAAAATTCACATATTAGAAACTACATCAAAATCTCTCTAAAGTTATAAAATCTGAATTAAAATTTAATTAAGAATTAAAATCCTAATTGAGTGAATAAAATAAATCTGTTTGACTCAAAAAGTCAATTTAGTAACTCAATTTAGGATATAGGGAGTATTTCTTTTCATTTACTTTCTTTTTGACTCTTCCATCTTCAATTGAGCCGGGGATAAACTTTGTTTACCATATTTTCTCATAATGTTATGACAATATACTTTTAGTACTACATATGTCCCACTTAAAGGATCTCTCTCATTATTCTCCAGTTAACGTAAATGTTTTTAATCTTTTACTTTATATATTCAACTTTTATGATAATAAATTGTATTTTTTAATCTGATTTTTGCATACACAATAGACAATTGAACTTTTTTTAAATTGTATTTTTTAATGATAATAAATATTTGTAGATTACTCTTTGAACAAAGGTTTTCTCATTTCTATATTGGATCTACAATTTTTTACAACTAAACATCGTTTATTGAAAAATAATTCATTTAGTATAAATTTTATTTATTATTAAGATATTTCATTTTTTATTTTAATTAAAATTACTTTAGATGTTGGTTGTAATAGATTTATTGTATTAAGAGAAAATATTTGCAAGGTATTTAAGTAAAATCATTTTATGTTTCGATTATTACCTACCACTTGACGTGATAATCCTTTTATAGATTTAACTAAGCCGACCTTTTAGGGAAAAAATGTCTATTAAAGCATGCAACCTATTCGTTCAATAAGACTCATTTTGAATTAATCTAATGAAAAATAGATCAATCTCTAAAATCGTGTTATGCAGTCGGTCTGTTGTCACTGCCATCACCTTCATAAAATTAGAATGTTACAAAATTATACATGGTTTATTCTAAACTCTTTTATCAAAGGAGATCGGACTAATTTTTTCAATCCTAAATAATAGAAAGGCTAATAACTTAAAAAATTGACCATACCCATTATTAAATTATAAATTATAAAAATGTGTAGTTATTAGTTTTGAAAAAACAGTAAGCTACAGATGAAATCTAATGGATAAAAATAGGGATTGAACAATTTCTTTTTTTTATTTAGATAAAGATGCTTGAAAAGATGATGTTCATTTGGATAATTGGATGCAACCAAGAGTTATAAAAAAATTGGTTCTTTTGATTGGAAAATATTGACTGAGAACATGTTTAAATTTTTTGTTGAAGAAAGACGTACTCAATAAATAAGAATATGCATTATTAACCGATGTTATAATTGGCTAAATATGTGACCTTCCGTTACTTATGATTACACACATATATAATTGTGTGCGCGCACACACATGTAGTATAAGAAGAAAAATTCGGTCTATCCTGTGCACGACACGGGTAGAGATACTAGTTGTACACAATCCCTAATTACGGAGTAAAACTTATGCCAAATTATCTGTCTACACAAGGGGTGTGCAATTTTGTGTACAAATTTGGTGTAACTAGGGGTGGGCGCGGTCCGGAACGGTCCGGTAAACTAGTAAAACCCGTAATGTATCCGTTAAGTTTTTAACGGTCCGGTACGGTCCGGTTTCAAGGATGGAACCGTTCGGTATCATGCCGTTTCGGAACGGTACAAAACGATACGGTACAATGCCAAACTCATGCTAAAAATTTGAACAAATCTTGCAATTAATAGATATCTTCACACCAACCAACTCACATGAAATGTTAATATAAATACAAGAAATTGCATATGTAGTACTAAAGTTCACAAATACACAAATAGTGCAACACAACTAAGAAAAAGTATAGCAAAATGATGACGCACGAGATAAGTATCATCTTTTATTTACTTAGTTCATGTGAAAATATAAAAAGAATATCATCACATTGTTGAATATAATAGAAATCTTCAATGTTCTTCTTCGTTCTAGGTTAAATATTTCTCCGCAGTTCTAATTTAATTTATAGTTGAAACTTGAGAGCTAAGATTTAAACCATATTAATTACGTTGTAAAATTGTGCAAACATGATACTACAAAAAGTCATATACACTACATTACTAGAAATGAATAGTCCTTAATGATTTCTAAAATTTTAATATTCTTTCAATACATATCAAAATATAACATAAATTATCTAAAAAGAAAAAATAACAATATATATAATATAAACACACACACATTTAGCTAGTTTAGGAACACATGAATACATACTAGGGCTATAAAATTATTTGTCTATAAAAGAGATTTATTGGTATAGAAAAATTATAAAAAATTCAAATGCATTATTTTTTAACGGTTCGGTCCGGTATTTTTCGGTTCTCAAAATCTAGGACCAGTTCCGTACCCGTTTCAAACGGTTCGGTTTCGGTACGGGACAGAAATCTATAGAACCGTTTAAACACCCGATATTCGGTTCGGTACCATTAAGGGACGGCTCGGTACCGGGTCGGTTCGGGTTTTATGCCTACCCCTAGGTGTAACTGTGTGGGCAAAGAATTACCCCTCAATTTTATGTGGGCGGGCTGACGTCCCTTCTCCCTGAAAAAGCAGCTGAATGCTAGAAGGAAAGATATACGGAGTACGATTCAGCAGCGTTTTTTCTTCACTTTCAGTTCAGAAGACTCTCGTATGGTAAGCAATGCATTGGATGATCTACTCTTCCTACTTTCTTTCGCAATGTTGAAACCTGAGCTATTGCAAGTGTCCGCTCTCTGATTTTAAGATTTCCTTAATTCTCAAACATAATTAGTTGTTTTCCTGGATTTATTCTCAATCTCTTGTGGCAGTTTTGCGCATCAATAACACTTCTTTTCATTTTACCGCAGGATTTGTTTAGGAAGGCTCTTCTTCACACGGGACCCCCGGAGGAGTTCGCTCTCCAGACTGTGCAGGAAGCTATAAAACCTCAGGTAGTCGGACCTTTAAGTTATTCTAGCTAAGGCTTCATATGTGTAATTGAATTTCGAGATGGAAGTGGACCTTCTAGTATCTACTAACGAAACTAGAAACGATAAAGCTAGTAGCTGGCTAGTCCTAAACATGCTTGGTGCTTACTGTTTTTTAATGCGAGTACATATATTGCTAGTCTAAGTTTGATCAAGGAGTAACATGTAGTTCCATGGAGTAACATATAGTTCTCTATGAATTTATCATATAAATGTCCTATTTGACTATGATAGTACGCTATGCTTAATCAATTTGAATTTATCCTTTCTTCCTGTTCTCAATTTGAATTTATCTTTTCGTCATGCTCTCAACTTGATGATTGAAATGCATCAACTCAACAGTTAGTACTAATGTAGTGTAACATAGTCTCCCACTCAGGCTTTATAGTTTGTAGCTTACCTATTTGGCCATTTCAGGAAAATAAGATTTCACTATGTATATAAATGTAATGAAAAGATTTCCTCCTTTTCTTGTGTTCATTCTGTTCTATTGGAAATTTTTATTCTTTTGTTCTATAGATATACTGATTCAATGATTTCATTTTCCTTTTCTTTTTGCCACTTGACAGAGGCAAACCAAATTAGTCCAAGATGAGAATCAGCTGCTGGAGAATATTCTAAGGTCTCTACTACAAGAATTAGTTGTAAGTTTTTTCATGTCATTGTCAATGCTACCATTTGTTTTTTCAAGTTCCACAATCACTGAGAAATGTGAACTAGCTTTTTTTTGTTGAAAAATGTGAACTAGCTTTAACAGTATCTTTTCACGAAAGAAAGACAATTCATTTTTAAGAATAAAAACAAAGCTGCAGGGACTCGAAATCTCACATCACAGGAAGTTATGAAATTTCCTCCATAACTGACAACAAACTCTAGCAATTGCAACTATCTAGGAACATAAGAATCCATTGTATGGACATCGTTCTGTTTTCTTGCTCTACTCCTTCTCTTTGTATCCGTAAATTTTTAACTGATCGTTTATTTGCTTGACTGGCGAGTCAATCTGATTTCTGATTAATAACACTTGTTGTTTCGTAATGCAGTCTTCTGCTGTTCAGGCAGGGCAGAAAATAATGCAGTATGGGCAGTCAATTGATGATGATGAAACTGGTTATGGTCAAATTCCACGCCTTCTTGGTAAAATACTCTTACTATAGACCTTATATGATCTATTTTCTCCAATACTTCCACATTCTTTGGCAGTCGAGTCTAGTAGGACAATGGCTGTTTACTACAATCATAACCCACTACTCCAGGGTGCACACATACCCATCCCTTCTTCAATGAAATTTAGCAGGCAGTTGCACCTAAAACCAAAAAAACTACTCAGTGCTTGTTTGATAAAGTCACCTGCTTTGTGAAACATGCGTCTATGACACAGCTTATAGTAGCCTTTCTTCTCTTCTTCCAAATAAACCTAATCCTTATTGACAGTGTAAATCACACCCTCTTGTTTGTCCAATGTGTTAAACACGTGTATGGTTGAATACAACTGCATTTTCCTGGACAGATATTGTGCTATATCTTTGTGAGAAAGAGCATATTGAAGGTGGTATGATATTCCAGCTTTTAGAAGATTTGACAGAAGTGTCCACAATGAAAAATTGTGAGGACATATTTGGTTACATCGAAAGTAAACAAGATGTATTGGGGAAGGTTTGTAGTGTTTGATTTTCAATCCATCTATACTTTTTTTGCACATAAACTGTGTGCTCTTGTGTATGTGTGTTCATGCAGATATGTGTCATCTATGCTAAATGGATTGTGATGTTTTTCTTATAATATGTAGCCAGAACTGTTTGCACGAGGAAAACTTGTGATGTTAAGAACATGCAATCAACTTCTTCGCCGGCTGTCAAAGGTAAACTGTTTAATCTTTACTCTTTGTTGTGCGGTGTACAATGCTGTTTGTTGCTAAAACTAATTGTTCCTGAGCATTTGGCATTGTAGGCGAATGATGTTGTGTTCTGTGGAAGAATAATCATGTTTCTTGCTCACTTCTTCCCACTATCTGAACGCTCCGGTACTTTTTATCTCCTGTATTTTGTGTGTGATATAAAATGATTCTCTTCACCCCTGTATTTTGAGTGTGTTACCTTCTATGTCCTGTTTCAGCGGTTAATATAAAGGGAGTATTCAATACATCAAATGAGACAAAGTACGAGAAAGAAGCTCCCGAAGGTAGATGCTGTACTTGTTACATCGGTCATTAGTTTTGTGAGGTCCGCTTACTTATTATATATATTTGTTTGATCTATAGGTATTTCGATAGATTTCAACTTCTACAAAACCTTTTGGAGTTTACAGGTTAGTATCATGCGTCTTGGACCTGAGAGTTGATAAAATCTATGTTACTTTATTGCATCATCAGGACTTTCTCGATCATTCTACATATGTGTCTGCTGGGAAAGCTTCAAGATGCCATTGGATCATGCCTAGAGCTTACACTATTTTCTCCATATTTCACGATTAATCTTTTCTGGTTTATATCTGATGTTTAATTAATTCGCCTCTGTTTCTTTTGGTATTCAGGAGTACTTCTGCAATCCACCATCTGTATCTGTTGCCTCCACCAAGTGGCATAAATTTACTTCCAGTTTGATGGTATTGATACTGTTTCTACATTTTAAAGGTGGCCTTTTTCGGGTGCGTATTTTGATTTTTGTGCAATTTATTAATAATTTGGGGAATTCAGGTGGTTCTGAATACATTCGAGGCTCAGCCTATAAGTGACGAAGAAGGCAATGCAAATTACCTTGAGGACGAGGCAGCAGCATTCAACATAAAATATCTTACAAGCAGTAAGCTCATGGGTCTTGAGGTGCGAATAACACAACTCTGGGATAACATTTTTATTACACTAAAATTTTTGAGGTGCAATGAATATTTCTTAAATTTCTTTTCTTTTGCAGTTGAAGGATCCCAGTTTCCGGCGTCACATTCTAGTGCAGTGCCTCATTTTGTTTGATTATCTGAAGGTAGTTACCTGCATTATTTATGGTGCTTTTAGAAAAAGTTGAAAATTGTGGTGGGATAGTACTTTTGGGAGTTCTCAAGTGCTTGGCATTGGGGTTGAAAAATGCTATTTGTATTTTTAAAGACCATCATTTTATAAAATATAAATGCTATCTGCTGGTGAAGAGGGTGGGATGCCAAAGTTAAGACGAACTCTTGTTACAATATTTTGCTTCATCTGTATTTACTTCATAATCATGCAGCTGCTGTCTCATCCACAACAGTGTGGCATTGAATATAGCAGCTTTATGCAACAATATAATTACCTTCAGTAGTGCTTCATTTTCATTATTTTCAAATTAAACTTTGGTGTTAGAATATTTTTTTCTTTCAATATTTACACAATTTTGTCTCATCTATTCTCTGGAAAACATCGTCTTCTTTTTGTGTGTATGCCGTATGGTATGGTATAGCCTTGTATCTAGATGGACAAACAATTTGCAACTACAAAAACCGTGTTTTTTCTTCAAAGCTAGAAATGTGATTGTGAGAACATACAAATTTGTGTATTCATGACTCAACAACAACAACATCAAAGCCTTAGTCCCACAAGATTTTGGGGTCGGCTAACATGAATCGATACATGATATCGAAGCCAAAAGGAAAAGAAAGATAAGTAAGATAAAAAGATAAGGTATGATAATGAAGATAAAAAAAGATAACGATAAATATAAAATGAAGATAAAATGATAAGATAAAAAGTATAAAGGGAATATATAAAAATAGTAAAAAGGTGATAGGAACCCAGTAGTATAATAATACTAATAATAATAGAAGTATAATAAATAATGGTGTTAGGGTATTAAAGGGTCCTGGGCTAGGTACTAGTTAGTATTGGGCTGACCCACAAGTAAGTATAAATAGAGGGAGGGAGAAATAAGAAAGCAGGCAAGTATTTCGTTGGGAATAGGCTGGGAGACTGGGCATCTCGAATCGTCCAAGGCTACTGTATTCCTCTTTGTACTGTTCATCATCGATAATAAGAATTTCCGATCCTTTCTTCTTTATTTCCTACTGATTCTATACTGTTTTGAGCTAGCGATTACCACTGATCTATCAATGGTATCAGAGCAATCAACGCCTGGAAACGTGGAGAAGCTCTCTGGTTTGCGCAGAGAACAACGACGATCACTGTACGCATTTGGTTCGCACGGACTTCTGGAAAATCGTTCGAACCTGGAGAAGCGTTTGAACATGGAGATGAAATCTGCTACGGAGAACATCGCTGCATCCATGGCTGCGATAAATGAACCGCTTCAAACCAGAGGAAGATCGCACTCGACTCAACATCGGCGAACTAAGGAATCGGAGCGTCTAGCTGCGTGGGAAGGTAATTCCTATCACTATGGCTCTAGTACGGGTCGCAATAGCAGTAGAAGAGAAAGTCGGATGAGAATAAAGGTTGAATTACCGTTGTTTAACGGGGATGATGCTGACAGATGGATTGTTAAGATGGAAGAGTATTTCCGTCTCAAGGCTACTGCTGAAAAAAAATAAAGTGGTAGTAGCAGAAGGTGTGATGGAGGAAAGAGTCTTAGCCTGGTTTCCATGGTGGTATACTCAAACAAGTGAGAAGAGTTGGAAGGTTCTAAAGGAAGCCATAAACAGGCGTTTCCAAAAACACAGTCGGAAGACAGGAAAACAGGATTTGGGATCGCCAATATCTTCTTCCAGTTTGCAATCTTCTCCGCAAGCCGTGTCTGCAGGTTTGCAGACGTCATCAGGCGCTAGCAGTTCACTTCAATGTATGATGCTACCAGAAGAAGCTTCCAGTTTGTCATTGCTGTCTAAATTGCAGGAGTCTGGCAGGCTATTGCAACCTCTCTCTGAGGATACGCTCATGGATGAGGATGAGGGACGAGAGGACACATCTTATGTGGTGAATCAATCCTCAATTATCAGGGAATATGAATCTACTGAGGAGAAAATTGCTGTTTCAATTATTTCTGAATTGGAGAACCAAGCGGTTCCTGAAACCTCCATAGGTACGGGAAATACAGCTTCACATATTGGAGACCCGATTACAGCTGCAGAACTTATGGATAGAACTCAAGGTCCTGAGGGTGTATTAGGTGCTGATCTGACAAATGCAGTCCATGAAGGAATTGTTATACCTTGGCAGTCCAACTTATTATCTACTACAGCATCTAAGAAGGCCAGGAAAGAAGGGATGTTTGCGAACAAGGAGGGTGTACAAGGAGGTACAGTGGAGAAGGGTGCTGATAATGATGAACCTTGGAGGTTCTACAACCTCAGGGTTAAGTGGATTAAAAGGGACTTGAAGCTAGCTAGCAAGTATTTGATAGGGGCTGCTTACGGGGATCAACAACAGGATGTTTATCGATTAGCAAAAATGTTCCATAATGATGAGGATTATAAACACTCCTTTAGTGGTGTTGTGATGTACTGGAATCCTTCTGAAATATCTGGGACCAGTTTTTTGAACCCTCCTTCACTTCGTTTAGATGATAGTTCTTGGGCATGGCGAGTGGCAGATAGAAACAGGGTTGTGGATGACAGGGTTGCCTTTGTTTCCTCTCACAGTATTTCTTCTTGCTCTTCCCTTGATCCATTTGGCTCAGAAATTAGTGGATATGCTATATCTGGAAGTAAGGTTCATACTGGCAAGGTTGCACAGACAACTTGTGTGCAAGAGCATACATATATTTCATTTCTGATACAACCATTTCATGCATCAAACCTGACTTGGGTGTGGCTGAATAAGACTGATGGTTTCCAATTTGATAGTGATATTTGTATGAAGTATATTCAAAATGGAATGGGGATTATTCTTGCTGGGAATTATACAAAATATGGTACTGAAAATGCATTGAATGAGGGATCTCTTGACAGCAACAAGTGTGCAACAATAATTGTGCATAACCGGGACGAGTTGGCAAACTGTGTCATTACTCTTCTGCAGTTGACAGAACAGCGGATCCACACAGGGTTGAAGAATGCCAAAGCTTGGAGTTTTCATAATCACAAGTTCCTTCAACTCATTAAAGACATGGATAAATTCATTGCTGGGAATGATGGTTTGTTTCTAAAGAATCTGGAAGCAACAATATCAAAGCAGTTAACTGTTACAGACAGAAAAGAACAGCAAAAGGAGCTATTTGTTGCTATTGAAGGCTTAAAGGCGACTGAAGAAAATAAAACTTCTCCAAATATAACTTTTGCAACAGAAACATCCTTCATCTTAAAGTTTCAAGCATTAAGCACCAGGTCAAATCAACGGTTAGATACTGGGAAGGAAGAGGTGCTCGGATGAAGATAAAGCTGAAAGTCCAGGCTGGTTCCTATCACCCACCTTGAGGACAAGGTGGTTTTTCAAGGGGGGAGATATGATAGGAACCCAGTAGTATAATAATACTAATAATAATAGAAGTATAATAAATAATGGTGTTAGGGTATTAAAGGGTCCTGGGCTAGGTACTAGTTAGTATTGGGCTGACCCACAAGTAAGTATAAATAGAGGGAGGGAGAAATAAGAAAGCAGGCAAGTATTTCGTTGGGAATAGGCTGGGAGACTGGGCATCTCGAATCGTCCAAGGCTACTGTATTCCTCTTTGTACTGTTCATCATCGATAATAAGAATTTCCGATCCTTTCTTCTTTATTTCCTACTGATTCTATACTGTTTTGAGCTAGCGATTACCACTGATCTATCAAAAGGATAAAGAACATACCATGTCGATTTCTTCTAGCATTTACATTCTAAATGCAGTGTCTTAAGTATTACATTTCTTCTGGACTACGTGCACATGCATACTATGTCGGCTCTCTGTTTAAAAGTTACAATCCTGATGCTTTATATCCAAAATGTTACTGATTTTTCACCTGGAAATCATAAGCAGTGCCTCTTTAACTTTCTGTAGATATTCCCTGACATGTTTGTTTTAATGTTACCTTGTAGGCGCCCGGAAAAAGTGATAAAGAGTTGCCATCTGAAGCCATGGTTGGTATTCACCATCATATCGCCTATTTGCCTGATATCTTTTGGAATAATTTATTATTTTTAAGTTATTCATTCTTTTCATTCTCTATAGCCTTTCCCTTGGGCTATCGTGATAGTGAAAAGGATAAGCCACAAAGGAACTGCCATATGTAATGATCTATTGGAAATTATGATTGTATTGTGTTTACAATTATAAACATATGCAGATCCTTGTCTAAGTGAACTGTAAAATACATTTTTGTATGGTGTGAAAGATGGCCTAGCAAGTTGATCCCATTGTTCATTTAAAAGATGTGTTCTGAATTTATTGTTTACTTATGACATAGTTAGGATTAGGTGGTGGTGTTGATGATTCATATTTCTTATCTGTGTCCTTTTATGTTTGACCAATGTAGAAAGAAGAAATAAAGACATGTGAAGAGCGAGTGAAGAAGCTACTTGAAATTACTCCACCTAAAGGAAAAGAGTTTCTTCAGTCCATTGAGCATATACTAGAGCGTGAAAGGAATTGGGTGAGCATCAAGTGATCCTCTCTCTCTGCAATACTGCAACACTACATCTCTTTATCGTGTTTTATGTATATCCGCATGTTGTTGCTTTTATATTTATAATTTTTTATATCTTTTGTTATGTATTTAATTTGGACATCTTTTAAGGTTTGGTGGAAACGTGATGGTTGCCCTCCATTCGAAAAGCAACAAATTGAGAAGAAGCTAGGCCAAGGGGGGCAAAAGAAACGGTATGCTAACTTGAACTAAGTTAACTCTAACTTCATTCCAAGAGAATTTATTAGTAATTAACTGGAGAATCCTGCCGAGTTCAGACTCATGTCAGTATCAATCCTAGAGGATAATAATTACCAGAAAATGTGATTGGCACATAGCCGAGAATTTTCAACTTGACCATTATAATTATAATAATGATCTGAATATCAATATTATAATGACAATAGAATATCTGGGTGTTTTTTCTCAAGGTTTTTGCTTTCTTGGTGGGTAGTTGGGTTACTACCTTATTGTTCAGATATCCACAATCCTTGATAAATATCAAATTAGAGACTATATGTGGTATCATATTTTTGAGCTTGCAATATTTGTTATTTATCATGCTATTTCTCCTAAATGTTTCAGTCGGCAACGATGGAGGCTTGGAAATAAAGAACTATCTCAGTTATGGAAATGGGCTGATCAGAATCCGGTTTGTTTTGTAAATCAGAAATTTGAAGTTTTTTTAGGATTTTGGACAACCTGTTATTGTATGTTGTATGGGACCAAAGTTTATCTTATGTTGAACTCACAGAATGCTTTAACCGATCCTCTACGCGTGCGCACCCCTGACATCTCAGACTACTGGAAACCCTTGGCCGAAGATGTAAGCTACAACATATGCCGTTTGAATAAAAACTTATATTTTTACCCCTTAAAAGGTGTTAATCTCTCAACACCATGCACTCAGAAACAGAACCTTTATAAACTTACAGATGGACGAATCTGCTGGAATTGAAGCAGAATATCATCACAAAAATAATAGGGTCAGTTTCTCATGTTGCTCCTCTTTGCTATTAACTTTTTGGGTGCGTTTCTTGCAACTAAAAAGAATGTCATAGGTGAAAACTTGGCCACGGAAGGAGGGATGGAAAACTGTAGTATAAAGACAAAAAACGCACCGACCAAGAGTGAATGTAAAAAATGAACTTTTCATTCACATTACTGTGTCTCATCTGGTGCAGGTTTACTGCTGGAAAGGTCTCCGATTTTCTGCAAGGCAAGATCTGGAAGGATTTTCTCGAGTATGAACTCTTTACTGTGTTTGTGTATAAAGAGAGAGGGGGGAGAATACGACTTCAATACGTGCATAATTTCTGAAACATATTATGCCTACATTGCAGTTCACAGAATATGGTATTGAGGGTGTTGTGCCTATGGAACTGTTGCCTCCAGAAGTAAGGTCAAAATATCAAGGCAAACCAAATGATAGGTCTAAGCGTGCCAAGGAGGAAACGAAAACTACAGTCCAACAAGCAGAAGAAAATCAGGTTAATGGAGTTCTTAAATTCATGATTCTTTAGTTTTTGTTAGTTGCTACGTATTCTGTTTTTGAGAAGTTTATTAATACTTGATCATATATCATGTTGAAAATAGATAAAACCTTACTTTTTCTACCGTGTCCACTACTCTATCCTAGTGCACTACCCCTACAACTTCCCTCTTGAAACCATGAAAAACCTAATGGATCAACTAAATAAAAATGGACAAAGTATTCATTCTTTCTGAGATTCATACTTACTCCAATATGTGAATCTCATAAGTTTTAAAAAATGTTACGAACTTCATTTTTGCATACCTAAAAAGCATGTGTTATATTTTGGAGGTAAATTTGTTGTGAACTTGTATTGTTTAACGCTTTTGGTTATCTATCATCATTTTGCCTAGGCAACCACACTGGCTGATGAGGTAGGCGTTGAAGGCATCAGACCGGACCTTGAAACCACCACCGCTGCTCCAATGGACACATATACTGCCGGGAACATGTCCCAAAGTGGAACACCAACTAGGGATGAAAATCAGAAGCAAAGTTCTGACTCAGATGGTCAAGAAGCAGGGCAGATGGAGGCTGATGCAGAAACACCGATGCTGATGGTAGCTGATCCTGAAACAGTGGGAGGAACCGAAACAGGCGATGCAGAAGTAGATTTAGATACACTTGGCTGATTAACTATTATGATCAAGACGAGCAATTGATAGTAGAGAAGCTATATGTATATTTATGGCTGAATTTACCCCTTCATGGAACCTCATTTTCATTAAAGAGTTTGGATCAAAACACTCCATTTAAAGGTCTGCATTAAGATACTCCTTGCCCACACAGATCAGGTCATCAGATACCACTCCATTCAATCATATTTTTGTGGGAACTGTCACTGATAGTGCAAGTTCGGTAAACTTCTTTCAATTTTGATAATCAAAAAGTTTTTTCACTTACCAATTTTGGAATAATTGGGGCGAACTTATAATGGAAAGGAATAGCATTTTTATCACTCCGTCTTTCAAAGCATTTTCTAATTCGTACTTCATGAGGTTAGAAGAAAATAAGAAATTGGTTTTTGTTCTTTGCCTTAGGCAACTGCCTTTTTGTTGAAGGTAAGTATGACGTAGTATTTTTTTGACATTGTACAATAACTGTTGCTTGAAATAGTAGAGTAAACTAATAAGTTTACATCCCAAAAAAGGAGTATTTTTGTAACAATAATGAGAGATCATGATATGTTAAGTAGGTATGATTGCATCATCCATTAAAAAATTAGAGTTAGTTTACTTATAACTTAATCAGTATAATGATTTAATTGTTCAACCATTGGATCATAATTATTGTAAAATTTAACTGAAAGCATGATTTATATATAATACTTCCTCCGTTCTTTTTTTAATTGCAACGGTCCACTTTTCGCGCTTGCCAACGCACAAGTTTGACCATTAATATTTTTCACTCATTAGTAAAAAAATTAAAAAAATTCAAATTTTGAAAATTTACAATGAGAGGAATTTAAAAATATTTTTTTAAAATTTTAACTTATAATCCATTAATAAATAAAATATAGTCAAAGTATGATATGTGAATAGTGCAAAGTGCAAACACTTTGAGGGAACTTTATAGATTTGGAGGAAAGGCCCAAAATTGACATTGATTTATGTGAGAGGCTTGAGTGCTGGGGGTGTAACAAGAGCATTTCCAATGTTGTATGGTGTACATGGCATAAAAGAAAGATAACATAAATATTAGTAAGAAAATATTTCTCTCCTTATTTAAATTTTTTTTGTATGATTTTGATAAATTTTTCTCAACAATATCAAGAAAAGTGTCTAAATGTAAATATTGTGGTTGACAAAAAGTTTTCAAAAGAAAGAGAGAAATATCATTATTACTTCGAAGATACAGTAAGCAGGTGAGATGAAGAAAAAAGTGTGAAATGAAGATTTTGAATGTTTTCTATTAAATTAGTTCATATGGGGACATAGGGTTGAGATTAATACGGGTACTTGGTTGTTTGTTATATTTAATCACCCAATATATGTATAATTAATACTTTCCAGTACTTTTAAAGAACTTTACTAGAAAGTACTTCAATAGAAAAAGATATTTGCATTTAAATATCCTTATTTAAGTATTCATATTTTTTCAACATTGGTTTTGCTTTGACATTTTTTCCCCACAAAACAAGCAAAAATAATATCTCTAAAACACTTGCAATTGAAAACTGACATTTAACACACCTAGAGCCCGTTTGGTAGCATGAAAATCGGCTGTTTTGGCTGATTCTGCTGAAATTTATGAAATTCTGGCTGAAGTGGCTGTTTTGGCTGATTCTGCTGATTCAAGAAAAAACTATTTTAAAAATATATTTTATTAATAAATTATAGAAAAAATTACATGTAAAAATTGCTAAAATAGTCCTCTACAGTAACTTCAGCCAATACAGCCAGAAAAGTAACTCCAACCTTACTTTTTCTGCTTATTACACAATTCAGCACACAAAAGTAAAAGTTACGTGTTTGGTGAAAAAGCTGGCTGATAAGCCTGATAAGCCGAAAAAAGAGGTCTCCAAACGGGCTCCTAAGAGGCTAAGAGAATCCACTATGGGAGGTCATTGGGGATATAAAAAAAAATGATCCCACTTGATCCTCACTATGGGAGGTCAAGGAAGTGATCGATCAAAGTAGAAAGTCTGGAATGAGATCTGACAAAATTTTTGTGACTAACCAAAAAAAGTCCATGTGACTTTTTATTTAGAATAAGGAGTTCAGATGGCTTCTCTTCCCCATCAAGATAGCCACCAACTTCATCAAATATCCCCAATTCCCTAATTTCATTTATTACTCATTAAATTTAATTTATTGTAAAACAATTATACCAAAAAATTAGATTTTTTCCTCGTATAAATAGACATCAATGAAGGAGTATTCCGCCATAGTGTTATTACTAAATAGACATTTGTTTTTGTCTAATTTAGTACGCAGTAGTGCAGTACGGAGTATTGTTTTTGTTTAGTTTATTAAAAAATCATTCTGGTTTTTCGTTCAGTGTTAGTTGGTTTCGTTTGTTTGGAAGTATAAGTACAAGAGCCTTAATGTGTAAAAATATACTCCATGCATATAATTTCAAATTGGAGTAATGATAAATTGATAAGTGATTCAATTTACTTTTCTTAGTGTGATCATCTCCAGGGCCGGTCCTGAGATATTTAAGGCCCTGTTCAGTATTAAATAAAAGGCCCTGAATTGTATAAAAAAAAGTATATTACCCCGCGTCAGTGTTAAAAATAAATTGTCAATATTGATAATTAATTTAATTTTAACAATTAAAATTTACATATTCAAATAGTAAATTATAATCTATAAAAAGTTTCAAAATTCAAGATAAAATTTAATTAAAGATTGATATCTCAATTAAGTGAATACCATCAATTTGTTTGATTCAAAAAAGTCAATTTTATAAATCAATTTGAAATTGAAGAAGTACTGTATATAACACATGTAGTGAAAAATAATAAACTTAAGAACAGAAAAAGTAAATATAAAATGTAATGAAAAACTTATTTTGATTCCTAACAAACAATATCATAACAAAAGAAATCCAAAGTATTAAAAATTGATATAATTAACTATAAGAAAATCAAGAACGTAACTTAAAAATTAAGTGTATACGAAGTAATGTAGTATATTAAAGCAATAACAACAATACTTATAGTTAAATTTATTACTACGTATGTGTTTAGTTGTAATAAATTAGAAGTAAATGTTTTAATTGATCGATTTGAGTATTTGACTAAAGTATTTGTAAAAGTAATGACCGACGTTTTACAAATGCGTCAATTTGGGCCCTGTGCGGTCGCACTGCTTGCACAGTGCCAGGGCCGGCCCTGATCATCTCTATAAATGATTGTAGGGCTTGTTTGGCAATTGTGCCCAGTCTTTGTCCATGTATTTGAATCAATACAAGTTTGATGTTTCTCGTTAATTAAAACATCCACTAGGAATCAAAAGAGTCCACCTTCGTACATGATCATAAAATGTGACTCACAAGGCTATATAATTGCAAAATTTTGTATGTCACCACCAGTTTACCAGTTTATTATGTCATTCAAAAAATTTATGTCATGATCAATGTCTTTGCCACCTTGAACATATCAGTTTGATTGTGACAAAAAAATCACTGACGTTTTAAAAAAGTTATACAAAGTAGGAAAACTGTAATTGGTAGGCGCTGACAATCAAAGGTTTTCTCAATGGTGTTATGAAAATTTTATTTTTTAAAAGAATCAGTGGTAATCCCTTGGCGGCGGTTGTGGACGCATAGGGATTGAGTAGAGTTAGACTATCCGCAGCCACCCTCCGCCAATAACGTAAATTTTCAATCTGTTTATATCAAAATTACATATTCGCTCTGTCAATTTAATTTTTCTCTGCAATCCAACACCGTCAATATATTCACCTAACATAATTTTTTTAATTAAATCATAACTTTTATATATGCTATATGGATCTCACATGAAAGATCATAAAACATATAAAATTTGATATGATTTTAAAAAAAATTGGAATACAAACCACACAATTCCATTTTTTCTTAAAAACCACATCACACCCCTCCGTCCCAAACTTAGGGGGACGGAGGGAGTATACTAGTCCCTAAGGGTGTTTTTGGGAGTTGGAATTTTGGAAGAAGAAGGTTGATGGAGTTTTATACCCCTTTTCATGTTTGAGAATTTATAAAATTGGAGGGATGGTTTTGGAGGGCTTTAGTGACCCTCCAAAACGCTCTAAATGCCCAGTTTTTTAGTTCCCTCAATTTATGCTGACGTGACACACATGTGGAAGTCCAGTAAACCATTTGTTGATGACGTGACGCATACGTAGACCGTCATGTGTGCGCCACGTCAGCGAGTGACTTGCTGACATGATAAGTAACCTCCAAATAATGGATTCAATTGAACGTTTTTACAAAGTTCGAGAATTTGATTGATCTTAAAATTACAAGGACCTAATTGACTTTTTCACTAAAGTATGAGGACCAAATTGACAGTTTTCTCAATTAGTTTTAATGTAGAGTTTTGACTGCACAACAACATTCAAGCATTAGTTCCAAGAGATTTTGGAGTCAGTTAACATGAATCGATATATGTCATCGGAATTAAAGGGAAAAGAAAGAGAAAAGGGTAAGATATAATAAAAAAAAGATGACAAAATAGATAAGATATACATAAAACGATAAGACAAAAAGGATAAAAAGAATATGTATGTAAATAAAAAAAACTATTGCAGTTCACTCCTTAAAAAGAACTATGATCAGTCTGCTTAAAGTAATCACAACTATTAATTATTTTTATATAACCTCAATTATATGACGTGTCCATCAATATAGTCCTGGACCTACTATAACATACCTCTTTTAAATAGAAACTACTTGTATTCTATAAGTAGGTTGAACTATTCTCGTTCTTCTTTTAATAATCTCAACCATCACCTCAATTTTTTTTTTTTACAAAATGTAGGAAAATTTATAAAAATTCAAAATTAGGATTTTATAGTATGTAAATTTAAGAAAATCAAAACACGTACCGTGCTTTAAGAATAAAAATATTAAACTTTATTTCAGATTTTTATTTTTAGAAAAACATTACTCCGAATTTCTGTTTTTTGATAAATATTTATTGTGGGTTCCTTTTCAAATTTAAGTTTTTGTATTGATTTTCAACTAGTTTTAAAATATTCAATTTTTTACTTAGGATAATTAGCTTTTAATTTTTCACTCGGTAATATAAAAAATTTTTATCTTTTATTGTTTCACTATGAAGTTTTAATATGCAGGTTGTCATTTTTTAACTTTGAATTTGTACTTAATGTTCACTTTCATTTTTCATTTAAGTTTTTATACTCGTATAATATTGACATTTTTTTTTCTCTTTATTTATATATTTATATTTTTAATATATTTTTGATACCTTAGTTATAAAATTTTAATTTGAAATTTATATAAAGTTTTCCATATTTTATATTCTGAAATTTATATAGTTTTTCCATATTCTTTAAATATAGTTTTTTTATATTTAATTATAGTAAAAAAAAATCTATATTCAATTTTACCATTTTTATTTATTCATGGAATTTATCATTTAATTTTAAGGGTATAATAAAAGTTGACAGGTCATAGTTCAAATTATTACACTCGTATTTTTTAATTGACTAAACAACTAGTCGGTCATGTGGGACCATTATTGGTGGAAGACCCATAAAGTTGAAATTATTTTTAGATAATCGATAGCAATGGCGGAGCCACCATAGTTCAAAGGTGTTCAATTGAACACCTACATTCTTGAAAAACATATTAGTATACATGCATATTAGTTCAAAGGTGTTTCAAATTTTTATTGTACAAAAAATGAACACCCAAAACTTGAATCATAAATTCGTCACTGACTGACTACGTAGTTAAGATTATTATGAGATTACTGACAATAGTTGATATTATCATCATTAATTTTTTCTATATAAAAAGAATGTGAATGTGTGTGTGCGTGTTTGTTACTATTGCTAATGATTTAAAAATGCACACACAAAATTTGACTTTAAAGACCGTGAATTTGCATATCTCAATTTAGGACAAAGAAAATATATCTACAAAAATGTTAGATGCTCATTTTTTCGACATCCTATATTAGGTTTAACTTTTTTTACCCTCTCTCCTTCTCCTCTTTATCCATATGAAAACTCTCCCGTCCTCTTTCTTTCTTTCTTTTTTTCTTTTTTCCTTTTATTTATACTCATCTTCACCGACATCTTGCATCGTTGCCTTCACCTTTATCATCCTTTAGGACAGAAAAACAAACAAAATTTGAATTCGTCGGATAATTAGAGATGAACCTTCGTTGAAATTTTTATTTGAATGGTATATAGAATATTATGTGTGTCATACTGAATAATGATGTAATTCATTTTTAGAGAAAAATGAAGCTGAAAATTTTGTAACATTTTGTAAACTTTCGCCACAGGGGAAAATGTTGCGTTTAAGTTAGAATTAGATTGCACGAAAACCAATGCCCGTGTTCAAAAAAGAATGCATAAGTACAAACATTTTATGTTTATACAGACAAATTACGTCTGTGCACAAATAAAAAGTATACAAGTACAAACATCTTTTGTTCTATACGCACAACCAATGTATGTGCAGAGGTATTGGTTACCGTGCAAAAAGCACAAATCAATGTGAGTTGCTGCAAGTCTTGGGGAAAATGTTTGTGCCTATAATTTTTTTTTGTGTGCCCAAACATGTTTACATGCATTTACTAATTTTTCAAATTAATTTTTTATACATTTTTTATCAAAATTTAGGATGACACAAACAATATTAATTTTCTAAAGCCACAACATTAAATTTGATGATTCCAATTTTCGTTGTTTTTCAAGTGACATTTGTGATGACTTGAACTCTAGAGATGATGAAGTAGATAAGATGAAAGATGAGACACAATATGATATGATGAAAATAAGAGTTAATGAAGATAAAAGATGAATAAAATGAAAACTGTGAAAATGAAAGAAAGAATAAAGAAGAAGAAATAAGAAAATCATAAGAAACAAAGAAAAAAGAGGGGGAACTGGAAAGGGTAAAATGATAAATTTAAATTCTTATATAGGTATGGTAAAATGTACCAAAGTCTACACATGTAGAGTAGCATTTTATAGTTTTTTTTATATAAATAAATTTTCCCTCCTGTTTTTATCAAACAACAACTGACTACTGAATCTGGGATTCCCGCCAAAAGTAAAATTGAATGGATGTTCATAATACTCCGGGTGAATTATATAGAAAGGGGATTTTCGAAATCTACGGATTCTCCGGGTGAATTCAGAGTTCAGAAGGGCAGTCTTCGAGCTCCGCTCTGCTTCGCCGTCTTTTCTCTTTCTCTGGATTCTAGGGTTTCTGTTTCGAGGCTGGGTTTGCCCATTTTCGTATCATCGCCGGCAGCATGTTGTCCACTTCGACGGCGAAAGTCGCCGCACCTAACCCGTCCTCTCATCTTTCTCCCCATACTCCTCCTGCTACCACTACTTGCGCCACTCTCCTCCGAGAATTGCAGGCGAGTGCTAAATTCAATTCTCTTATCCATTGATTTTATGCACCGCACCCAATCTTTACAAAAATATTTCACTAGGGTTCCAAATCAGTTGCCGTGGAGCAACTGTATTTGGTTTCGTCTCAACAACTAAATACATCTGAGTGCTATTTGTTCTTCTTCATTTTCGGCCATTTTAGCTGATTGATGGCCATGTGGCCTTTATGGTGGATAACTTTGACTGGAGGTCCAAAATACTTGTGACCAAAAGGGCACTGTTTCATTGTAATCATGATTCAAACGATGATAAAACATCATGCAATTCCCCCCAGTCTCCTACTGAGAATTCCACTTGTGATACTCCCATTTTTCACTGTTGTGTATTATCGTGTGCCTGCGTCTGCACAAGGCTCATGACTCGTGAATGCAAATTGTTATTTATAAAGGAATATTGTCATTTTGCTGCTAAAAAGCTTATAGGGTTCACCCATTGTGCCATCCTCTGGGAGTATGATTCGTATGACGCATATTGTAGTAGTCATTTGATGCATTTTCCTGACTTATGTGGATGGCTCTTTGTATACCGTTTTAGAGTTGTAAGTATATATTCCATAATTGTCTTCCCCAGATGCTTTACACCCTCTAGCTCATTATAAGATTTATGGTTTTGTGATGTGACTATTCTTTGGAGATTCTGCTCCTACCATTGAATTTTGCAAATGTCATTTGATTATTTCATAAATGTGTCAATATTGTTGCGACTTTTTTGTTGAATTTTGTTGTCCATTCAACTTAAATTTTATTTAGAAGTGCAATATCAACTACTTAGAAGGTATACAGTAGATGATCTCATTTTTTTATTTTTATTTATTTTTCACTATGGGGCATCTGAAAACAGTCTCTTTGTACTTTAGTACACAGGTAAGGCTGCCTACATCTGACCCCCCATACTCCACCGTAGGTGGGAGCCTTTGCGGCACTGGGGTAATGATGATTAAAGCTTTAAAGTTTAAACACGGTTTCATTTTTATTCGTGTATAAACTTTAAATATTTGATTCTTTTAAGCATTCTTTGCACAAAAGAAATAAGGAAACTAATGGTAAAGTTTGAACCTCCTTAGTCGGGTGTTATGTGATTTTGGAATTTGGACAAGAAACTGCATTTGAAATCTGTATACTAATTTGATTATTAGTCTTGTGCTTAGAACTACATGATTGATTCTTTTTTCAATTTAGGAAATATGGGATGAAATAGGGGAAAGTGAAAATGAGAGGGACAAGATGCTTCTTCAGCTTGAACAGGAATGCCTTGACATTTACCGAACTAAGGTGGAAAAAACTAGGAAATATAAAGCTGACTTGCACCAGTCTTTAGCAGACTCTGAGGCTGAAATTGCTACAGTAGCTTCTGCTCTAGGGCAACGTGTTCCATTGGTAAATAAGCTGTTGCTTTAGTCTATTTGACTGGCCATTGTATTGTTCTTTTATGGGCTCTTTTCCTTTTTCAGTATGAAAATAAGGGAAATATAAAGGAGAAAATTTCCAACATACATCCTGTATTAGAGAACTTGAGGTTAAAGAAACAAGAAAGGATGCAAGAGTTTCTGGACACAGAAATGCAGATTGCACAGATCTCTGCAGAGATAGCCGGAAATGACCAAGTTCTTAGTGCTGCTAAGATTCAAGTTAATGAACTGGATTTGACAATGAAGAAATTGCAAGAACTAAAATTGCGCCTTCAGGATCTTCAGTCAGAAAAGGTATTTGGGACATACTTTCTATAGTCTTGCAGTAATATGTAAATGATTTTTTTCTTTCTGTGAAGTTATTTTGTTCCTTTGCAGAGGCTTCGTTTGCAACAAGTTAATGGCTACACAAGTACAATTCATGATTTTTCAGTTGTCATGTCACTTGAGTTTGAGACTATATTAAGTGATATTCATCCAAGTTTACTCGGTGGGCTAAATGCTCAACCAAAAAGCATAAGCAATGAGACTCTTGCCAGGTTAACCGGTGAAGTTACTTCACTAAGGCAAATGAAGCAACAAAGGTTAAAGAAGGTAATAAAGTAATTAATAATCTTTTAATATTTATTACCCATGTTCCATATTAACGAACAGTAAAAATGGTAGCCTTTTATTCCGAGTCATTTAAATGCATGTTTATGTGGCACATATGCCTTGCCTTTTAGGTCTCTACACCATACTAATTTCCTTACAAAAAAATTGTTCAAAACTCCCAGTAGTCACTTTAAATTTTTGAGAATCGGGATCAGATAAATGCCTCTAAATTGTTAACTGTGTTTCTGTTTCTGAAAATTGGTTTTCTTCATAAAACACTAATCAAGGATCCCTTGCCATTGAAGGTTCCCTTTCTGTTTCCGTTTCTGTACAGACAATTTGAACGGCATATACAATGCCATGTACCCAAAGCAGAACTGTTATGAATATCAATATTGAACCATGACATAAGTAACAGATGTATGGGTGTTATATTAGCTGGTGTATCTAACAAAAGTGATGTGCACAACGCCCCAGCCATTAACTTTTGAAACATGTACATTAAGTATACTACACTCACTTTTCATGGTGATTACGTCTTAAATGTAGCTTCAAGATCTGGGTAGCACTCTATTGGAGCTTTGGAACCTTATGGACACACCCATTGAGGAGCAACAGAAATTTAACCATGTCATTTGTTTGATTTCTTCCTCTGCGGATGAGGTGATGAATCAAGGATCCCTTGCCATTGAAGTTATTGAGCTGGTAATTTTTTTGAGTGATTCTGTGAACTTTTGGTGCACGTTGGTGTGTGACCTTATTAATCTTTTTTTCTCCCAGGCTTCAGTAATTTGATATCCTATCCTTCTGGGTTTTTTATTTCTGTCTTGTTAGGCTGAAGTTGAAGTTGAGCGTTTAACTGCCCTAAAATCTAGCAAGTTGAAAGAGCTGATCCTTAAGAGGCAAAATGAGCTCGAGGAAATCTACAAGAGTGTTCATGTGGATGTAGACAGTGAAACAGCTAACCAAATACTAACAAGGCTTATGGAATCTAGTATGTTCAAATTAGAGACCATCGATCACTTTTCCAGTTTTTATTTATTGTATTCCATATTCGAAGTTCCTGAATGACATCTTTTTGTGATGCATCCATAAGATGAATGCACTTACCAGAAGTATTGAACTGATTCTGCATTTGATTCATAAGTGTACTTATATGTTATCTTCACCGCATTCTTTGGATCCATTTTCCAACAAGGCTACAATTGCCATGTAAAAGATGGCAGAATGAAACTCTATTGAAATGAAACTCTTGCTTAATCAAAGAAGAAACATTTTCAAGTTTCTCAGTTTATTCACCAAATGAACATTACATGAGTTCATGATTACTAAAATACTCTATTTGTTCTGATAGGTGATCTGACTGACCTCCTCTCAAGTATGGATCGTCAGATTGCTAAAGCTAAAGAGCAAGCTCTGAGCAGGAGAGATATCCTGGATAAGTTGGAGAAATGGAAGCACGCATCACAAGAGGAAAATTGGCTTGATGAATATGAAAAGGTATTTAAAAAAATCACTCCACTATAATGCATTTCAAAATAAAATGGGTCTGCTAATTTCAGTTAACATTAATACATTATGATGACTTGCACTTTTTTTGGCAGGATGAAAACCGCTACAGTGCTGGGAGAGGGGCTCACATTAATCTGAAACGTGCAGAGAAGGCCCGAGCCCTTGTGAGCAAGATACCATGTAAGCTAAGCAGGCATATCTTTAAACATGGATTCCTAGAAAAATTGGAACTTTGTGATACAAAAATTGATAGCAATACTTTTCTTGCAGCCCTAGTAGAAAACTTGATAGGGAAAATAAAAGCTTGGGAGGTAGAGAATGAAATGCCATTTTTATATGACAAGGTAAGCTTTTATTTCTTTCGTTCACATGATACATGTCTGTGAATTGGTAGCTACTCAATCACAAAAGTGTTTGACTATATGCAGGCCCCCTTGCTCCGTACATTAGAGGAGTATACAATATTGCGGCAGGAGAAACTGGAAGAAAAGCGCAAAAACCGGGTATTTAGCTTTTAAAAACCTAATTACAATTGGAATAGGCAGGAATAACAATGGTTTATCACTCTTTCTGTATTATGATGACATGTACTTATGCTCTAGGAACAAAAACGACTCCAAGAGCAGTTTGTTGCTGAACATGAAGCTCTCTACGGTTCAAAGTCCACAGGAAAGAAGCCTCTGGGTCAGAACACAAGTGCTAACATGTGCACACCAAGTCGCCGTGGACCAGTATCTGCTCGGCATGTAGTGCCCTCTGCTGTTAAGGAAAGGAGAGATTGTGTCAAAGCTGCTGCTGTCATTCCTATAAACTATGTAGCTCTTTCAAAAGATGATCACATGTGTAGGGAGAACTGATGAAGTTTTTAGCTTGAAAGTGGTAGTACATCTGCATAGCATTCACTCAGAAATTTCTGAGAAATTTCTAGATGTATTGCTTCCATATTTTGAATATTTTTCTGAACATATGAATGATTAAGACAGTAATGTTGTGTTCAAAACTTCAAACCAACCCCAAAAGATTAAAGTTTCTATTCCTGACAGGTGAGTACTTTACAACGTGGAATTACGTATTGGCTAAAAAAGACGCATTAATTAGAGAGAATAAAAAACAAAACAAAAATGGAACCACATTTTATAAATTACATAGTAGAAATGTATTCTATGTATTATATACTAGACTAAAAGACTAGATGCTCCATCTGGGCTTATGCAGCAATATCACATTATCACCCACAATGAATAGAGTTAGAATTGTGTAAACTACAAATGAGCCAATCTCCTGCCTGTGCCTGCTTTCCTGGCTCTTCTGTGAGAAGGGGGGTATATTGCCCAAGCTACAAAAGGAAGTTAAGGGCGAGTGATTTTTATTAATATTACTAGGGTACATGAGCAATATCATCAATGGCAATATCAGCAGGGTCTCCAATCCAAGGTCTCCCTTCTCTCCATTGGAACTTGATCCTTAGTTTGCCGTTTGCGTCTACTCCAACTACCTGACCTCTGCTGGCATGTGTCTCCATACCCCATCCCCATCTTGGTGCCACCAGCCCTTCTCTGAGTTTCACCTTGTCCCCGACTTTATATGGTCTGACCCTTTCCATTTCAGATGCCTTGCAAATCCATAGCCTATCCAGAAAGCAGAATGCCACACAGAGATCACCACCATCTTCTATACGATGCACTACCCCTAAGCTTGTGTGACAAACCTCCCCCCATTGGTGTGTAGGGGTTGAAACACTCGTCCTGACCTTAACCCAATCGCCAATTTGAATTTCTTCTTCTTCCACAATCTCTACTTCTGATGGATCCAACATCCATGATTTTGACCCTGCTGGTGTATACATTCTCAGCTTCCCGTCCCCATCAATTCCTGATACAGTTCCGACATTCAGATGACTATGTCCTGACCACCCAAATCTTGGTTGTTTGACCGAGTTTTTTACCTTAGCTCGCTGCCCAACAAGGATCTGTTTCACTCTTTCAAAATTTCTGTGATGCCCGATCCAATTATCCTGTTCTCCACAAAATGCCACAGAAATACTTCCATCCCATTCATCTCCTTCATAAATGATGCCTTGCACAACCCCAATGCTCCCTGGCCCTATTGATTTCCAACTCTGTGCGTTACCTCTCAACTTCACCCAGTCCCCTACTTCAAACATCTGCTCTGCCTCAAGATCAGCAGGGTCCCCTTTCCAGAAACCCTTTAAACCGAAAAATGCAACCCTCACCTCCCCGTCAGCATTGACGCATGTTATAATACCTTGTGAATCTGGCTGAGTGCCTCTCCAGCCCCACCTAGGCTCAATAAGTCCAGCCCGAAATCTAACATGCTGACCAACTCGGAAGCCACAGACCTTTTCAACATCAGCGTGGTGAGTATGCAACTTCCCTTTGCGGAAGCAACAGGCCAGTTCTAAATAACCGGCGTCCGGTACATTGTGTACAACAGCTAAGCCCTCCTTCCCAAGGCTGTACCAGTCATAACTGGGTCTTGTTCCCAAAGTGGGTTTTGTGCGTACCCAATCACCTACTTCAAACCCTGGAAGTAAGTCTGCATCTCCCGGAGACACCTTCCAGAAGCTTTGTCTCCCAGCAACCGCAACCTAAAAAGATCAAAAGCCAAATACCCTGTCAGCAAGTGAAATGATCTGCAGCAATGTGAGGGATGCCAATCCACTCAAAATGAAGCAAGTCCACCATGGAGTTGCTATGGTGACAACAACATTACCCCAACGCCGCAAAGGCTCCCACTCGCAGTGGGGTAAGGGGGGGTCGGATGTACGCAACCTCACCCATGTATTTAAGCACAAAGAGACTGTTTCCGGATGACCAAAGATGAAAATCGTGCCAAAATTTGCATTGTCTGTCTGTTGTTTCATAACAAGGAAGCACAGACAGTTTCATGAGTCATTTTGCTTTATTCCATCATATTCTCAAGCCAAAAAATAGTTATGGTATGTTTGGCACAACTAGCTGAAAAGATACCGAGCGTTTTAGTAATTGTTAGCCTTTAGTGACTGGAAAGATCTTAAAAAGAAAACACAGTAGATGTTTGATAAAAACTGTTTGATTTAGCTCTGTTTGGTATACAAGCTGTTAGGACTAATTAATGTTCTGTTTGGTATACAAGCTGTTAGGACTAATTAATGTTAGAAGCTAGGGACTTATCTGAAATGCTACTCATTGTAGCATCTCAAAAAAAGATCTTATATTTTTATAAAAGCTCTTAAAATTTGGCATGCCAAACATACAATTAGAAGTTTTTAAAGACTTTTAAAATAGTACAAAAGCTAGAAGGCAGGGACTTATGCCTGCCAAACATAGCCTTAGTCTTTGGCTCTATTGGAAATAATGGAAAAGTTGCTATGGTGACATTCCAGATTAATTTGGAGTGCATTTTATCATCTCGTAGTCAATTTAATGGACCCATATGTACCAATGCCATGGTAAAGTTACTACAGAGGATTTATTACCCAAAACTTATGTGGACATGAGGCAGTTCTCGAACTGGTTTGGGATTTTGATGTTCACTTGGATGAAAAGCTCTTGTTACAGCCATGTAAATGCATGGCCCCAGCAAAATATCAGTGCAGTTATGCTTCAATACTATATGTCTATACATGCAAATGGATTGCATTAATATCAATTGTTCTTTGTCAAACTGTACAAGGACTTGAAGAAAATATATTTAGAGTTGAAAACTCAATTACTTGTAGAGGACTGTGATAGAACTCTCACAGGTATTAAGTAAACTAACATTAAGAATCTAGAGTTCAAGAAACAAGCAAAGCTTTCATTAATGGTGGACGAAAGTACACAGAGTTCCCAAAGAAACGAGACAATCTATGTCAAATCTCAATTTCTCCCAGCCCCAAATAACTGTCCAACAGCCTACCCCTCATTACACACTCCCCTCCTATTTATACTATTATAGCTTGTACTCTTCTTATTTTCTATTACTCTGCCCGGGTTCCTATCATATCCCCCCCAAACAACCACCTTGTCCTCATCCTCAAGGTGGGTCTCTCCCTTCCCAGTACCTCACTGATTGTGGTATCGGAAGTTCCCATACTTCTAGTCCTCTAGATTGAAAGCCCTTGACCATCCTCAGTATTGCATGTCACTCAGACTTCATCCTATCTTTTGAGTGAAACTTCTCACTGAATAGCTCATATAGAACTTCATCCACACGCATGCCAAAAGAAAGTTCAAGAGGACTTGAGGCATTATACTGTGTTTCTCTATTTGTATTCCCCTATCATGAGCCGAAGTAGCATTTGTTCCATTACACTGCCCACCCTGCTGTCAACTTTAAGAACAGGCTTATTTCCCTTGTATAATGCACCCATCAGCTGAAATACAGGAAGCTCCAATGCAAAATTAAAGTAACAACTGCCAAAGGACATAAGTCCAGTAAAAACCGTGGCTGTTCTGTCCCCGATAATTTCCTGGCACTCCAAAAGACCTCGCCAGAAAATAGACTGGATCATCATAGAATTTTTTTTATATAAAATTTTGTGTAACAACTTTGCCTAGAGCTTGCTGATAACTGTTAGGAGCCACCCTCTTTAATAACCTTGTGAAGAATTCAAAAACCTCAGGAAGTGATAGGCTATGAGCTGTCTTTGCAGAGATGTCTCTCAACATTAGATATCTTTCTGGTACTTTAAATGGATTATGTAGGCCAAGCTTGGGGCAGCTTAACATGCTCTCAACAAATGGCTGCAATTCTGCTTCTTGTACTTCTGCAACTTGTATAAATGATCCTGAGTTAAATATCCATTATTGTATCATAGCTGGAAGACTTTACCCACTTTCCTTGCACCAATTTGGACACCTCAGCAGGTAAAGAACCTGATAAGTTTTTAACAACTTGAACACAGGCTGAATTTATAAATGTTCAGTTTTAAATTTATCTTTTTCTTCCAAGTGAGACTCAATGTCATTTCCGCTGAATTTCCTGACACTGCCCTCTAATTTCCCCAAACAGGCCAACCACTTCATCCTTATAATCACATCAGTTACAAGAAACACATTCTTCCCTAGATCAGTTACATTTGAGGTACTTAGAGGTTTAACCATTGATTCTCCAGTAGCATGCGAATGAATACATTCTTCAAATGGAATCAATTGCTCTAAATTAATTGCATCCTCATGAACCCTTGGTTGAACCTCAACTGTCCACTCAGTTGTTTGGTTACAAGTATTAATCCCTCTCAGGTAAATACCTCGAGATGTAGGGGTTGACTTCCCAACCTGGTTTATCTTGACTTGAATGTATTCATCACTTGGAGAGCTACGCTCAAGCGACCGCAGCATATTTGTTTCCAATTCTGAATTACCGAACTCGTACAGTCGTACCTGGAGGGGGTGTTACGAGTGAGGAATCGAGTAATGGCTCCAGCATTAGGTCCAAGGTCAACTGACGATTTCTCCTTGTGTTCATCATCGCCATAGATGAGCGCATCTTCCGAGGAAGGTTGCTGCTGATTAATCAACTCATGTTGCGAATCTGGGGACTTGGATAGATATTGAGAACTGAGGACTTCTGCTCGCATCAAAGCCAGAGGACCGGAAGAAGTTGCTTGCGAACTCAGAGAAACAGCTTGAGACGAAGAAGACAAACAGTGAGAATCGACTGGTGACGAAGATGAGGATTCTCCTCTCAATCGCGTCTTACTTGGACGTGAACTGATAGCTGACGAATACACCTGCGGACTAAGAAAAACTGTTCGCGGCTGCAAACTGTGAGACGAAGTTCGCAACTGCGAACTGGGAGAAGACGTTGACGACCACGATGAGTCCCAGTTCTCTGTCTTCTGACTGCGTCTAGGTTGGAAATGCCGAGTCGTCGCTTCTTGCAGAGCCTCCCAATTCTTCCCACCACT